GACGTATATTCAACAACGTTTCTATTCTAAAAATGCTCCTTTTTCTTTCGAAATTACCGATCTGTTTTCTTCGTTTTTGTTCACTTCTTTTAAGAAGAATTATTTGCATTTGAAAAATCTCTAATTTGTATGATTAAAGTCCCCGGAAATCCATGTGTTCCATGCTCCATTCGTTCAGTTCTTTTTGTTTTTAGTTCTCTTAGGATATTATGTATTATGTGAATGAAAATTTTCCTCTGTCTTTTTCTCTTTTCTATCTGTAAGCACAGAAAAGAAGAAACAAAGATGTACAATGTGAAAATGAATGTAGTCTTTGCTATGGCTCTAGTGCAAAATGTATGAAAACCCGCATATTTTTCTTTTTCTGTGCATATGTTCTCCACTCGTTCTGTTTATACATAAAAGTTCACATGTACTTTTATATTCTATTCTGGCGCAGCTGATGAAAGAAACATTTTAAATATAAAATGTCTCTTTTTTTATCAAAATTTTAACATTTATATTTGTTGCTACAGGCCTACTATATAACAAAAAAAACGTTATAAAGAAAAAATTTGTTTTGAAAAGAAAAGAAATGATTTATGTCGCAGTTCTACTATAGCACTGCCAAATAACTCTACTACCGGAGTGAAAGTCCGTGATGAAATTTTGACATTTTACTGTGTTTATGTTTTGTTAAAAAATCTCGTGCAATGCTATGGAATGTTTAAAATTGTAAAGCAAACCTTTTTCAACAAAAAAACTCTGGTGCTTTCATCACGCTATGTGACTTGGTTTATCATGCCCAAGACATGAGGATTGGGATTCACCGCTCTCCAGCTAGACTTGTTTCTTCTGGATATTTTTAATTAGAGATTTTACTATTAGTCACTTAGAATTTAGGTGCTATCCAATACGGTTAATCTATTTATTAACATTAAAAAAAGAATATTATACAACAAAATGTATTAAAACGCTAAAAAAACGCATCGTTATATCACCTGATCAACCGTAAAAAGCAAAGTATATACCACACGCATATTCATATAAAAAAATTTAAAAGAAGTTGTATTGAAAAAAAAAGCAATGAAATGCCTACAGAACTAACTGTTCTCTAACTAAAATATTTTGCAAAAAAACAATAACCTGAAATGATCTTGCCGGGTTAAAAATTTGAAAGTATCAAAAAAACTGAATAGCAGCTTCGATAGAAAATTTTATTGCGCATCTAACCACATATAATTTTTGGTCTGATTGTGGAAAACGCGCTATAAATTAGCGATAAAATAATTAAAAGAACATGATTGTCGTTTGAGAAAAAAATATTTTTCGAGCAAAATTTGAAATTTTCATTTTTCATACACTCCACTAAAACTTCTATAGCACGTCAGAGAAATATAATATTACTCCTCAACTTTGTCAAAAATTGTTTGATACTTAACTCTATCTAACAACATGATTTGGATCTTCGAGACCAACTTCATTAATAAGAAAAAAAATTCAACATTGAAAAAACTTCGTATACGTTATTGAGCGTTTTGGTCTTAAAATTGATTTTTCTCATATTCATTACGTCCTTTTGTAAAAATAAGATAATATTCTTGATCCTCAGGCAACGCAAAATCGAACAGTATATTATACGAATATAGAAAAAGAAAAAATAATCAGTCATGGACTACAAATTTTACTGACATATTTTGAACATTCTATAGCTTTTATTCAATAAATGACTTAATAAGAAACTAATTCTAATTATAAATGAATTACATATAATTGCAGCTGAACTACTCATCATTTATAAACTTATTTAAGCTTTTGGATAAAGTTAATTTATCATCATAAAACAAGGTTTACTACGTACCTGTAGAATGAACTGTCTAACACACTTATATATACATATGTCTATAGTCACTGGAGAAATAGAAAGAAAAAGAAAATTGTTCGTGAACGTTACTGTTTCTTCTTTTTCTTTCTTCTTCTCTTCACATTTATACTGAATAATTTTCTGGAAAAATGTCACGTAAAGCTGGTATATCAGTACCATTAAAGATAGAAACTTTTGATCTCATAGCAAGAGATTCTTTAACTAACAATCGATAATGTTTATTGTCTCGTTCTCCAATCGAAATATTCTTGAAATCAGTTGAATGTCCTGTTTTTATTACATGTTTTCTTGGAGTTGACTTTGGTTTAAACTCTTCTTGTACTGGTGGTAACTGTGTTGAAACGACTGATGATAGGTTCCTCTTAGCAATGCGATCACTACGTCACAAATTAACTTGACTTTATGGTTTCATTATTTGCTTTTTTCCATTCCGGTTTATTTTTATTATTGTGATAAACCTTTGGTGAGGAATATCATAGCTTTACCCACGTCTTTCTCTTGTTCATTTGCTCTACAACTCATTTGCCTCATAGTTTTGCCAAGATACTCTCCATGACAGTCATTACATTTAGTGTCATAAATAACTCTGTGTTTTATGTATATTTTGGTTTTCACCAAGATCTTTTGACGGTCATAAAACTTCGAAGATTTTTCTCTAAAACAGGAATAGAACGAGCTCATTTGGCTAAGAAATGACGGAGTTATAGCTGCCCTTGTTGTCTGTTTTTCAAGAAAACCGATGATTAACCGCGGTTATGCCAGCTAAAACCATAGCAACACAGAAGAACGAACGACCGTTAAACGCCCAATTAACCGAAAAAAACAGGTCGGTTAGCCGCAGTTAACGGTTGGTTTTGTTGGAAAAAGGACAACATGGGATGATTTTTTTGATACACTCGGTAGTTCCAAATGGTTTATTTCCATAATAGATTCCATTGTCATTCAAGTAGTTTATTTTTATTTCACTGATTTCTAGCAAAATTAAGCAAGAAAAAGCGTTAATGAAGCTAAGACTTGGACTAGTATCTTGAAATGTTAAAATTATTTTTGCATTGTAAGAATAATTTTGTACTGACTGTATATTTTCAAAATAGACAGTATCCGCCTGTTAGAAAGATTAACAATGATGATTTGTGTCCGATATGATGAGGAGATAAACTATCAAAATATAATTTGCTGAATAACTACACGTACAAGCCTCACGTGTACGACCATGTGGCTCTGTCACGTGTAACATGTGGCTCTGTCACGTGTACGATCATGTGGCTTGTAATGTGCAGGAGTGTTCGATAAAATTCTTGTGGAATTTTCTTGTTCTACTTTTTCTGTTCTGTACGTAGAAAGAAATGCAGTCTTCTGTACTTGCGACAAGAACGATGTGTTAACGTTCATATATATATATATATATCCGTATAATACTCTGTGCTTCTTTCTGTTCGAATGTTACTGTTGATTTGATATACGTACCGAGTACCTTTTATTATTGTAGAGGAAAGCGGATATTTTGTGTAGTCTAATGAAAAATTATATCGTGGATAATTTTTTGCATTGTTTTTCCGAAGAATTAATAGTCAGTCAAGATTATTCTTCATCAATTAATTCAAAATTATAGAAACAGGTAATTTTTTTTCAAATCTAAGGTAATTATTCTCATGGACAAGCCCGAGCATGGAAAAATAAGCTAATAGGACTCGCTGCAGCTAGCTATACTAGTTTCGACAATAGTATGTAAAATTTAGTTTTCAACACGTTTTCCTCCTGATGCAAATTTGAGAAAAGCTTCCTGCATGGTGACAATGCGATTTTTTTAATTATTTTAGATTTTTCACTATGAAGGAAGCGTTTCCGAATATTGTGTCTAGAGAAAAAAGTATTGGAAACTGAATTTTCTGTATTATTGTCTCTGGATTCAACTCTGAGAAATGCTTTCTTCATGGTGAATAATCTTAATTACAGTAAATTACAGTAACCCTGAAGTTTACTCTTTTAGCTAGCTGCAGAAGTCAGTAGAGAAGGCGCGTCTTCAGCAAATGCAGCTGGCTTATTTCTTATGAAATTTTATGCTTAGGAGAGAGCCTCACCAACTGGTTAACGCCGATTTTAGTTGATATTTTGCCGACAAGTACAGCTGTGAAAAAATCTAAAAGGAATCTAATTGGTGTTGCTTCTAAGCAACTGGAGCCAATTTCCGCTAAAATTTGAGAAAACAGTGGTATAGTAGCGATACGCTATAACGACAGGACCCCATCGTGCAATAATCTACCAGTTCCCTGGTATACTGGAATAATCCAGATCAGGGAATCCTACAATAGGATCATATGAGATCTTGTAAGATCCTATCGAGTTCTAAAACAAAATCTTGTCTGATCTTATATGATCCAATGAAATCATATAGAATCTTATAGGAAACACGTCTGCCATCTTAAAGCAAGAAATGACGTAGAATTTCTGTTATAGGATCCTGTGAGATCCTACAGTAGAAACTTATAAGATCCTATATAATCTTATTATAGGATTTGATAGGATTTTACATGATCAGCTAGGATATGGTATAATTTATCCTACTAAGTTTATTATTTTTATTTGTTTAATTATTCTCTGATCCCAGATAGACAAGAATCAGGTGATTCTAAGTTGGGATAAACTCAAGACTTGTGAGTACTCGGTCACACGTCGTCGAATACAATAGCAAATTTCGATGGCCCACAGAATTTCAAAAATTTAAGCCTAAAAGAATTTTTTATTTTCTGCAATAGAGTTGTATTTATATTATAGTTACTTGCTATTGCTATAGTTATTTTGCTACCGTTCTATATCAAGAATCCTAAGAAATTCCTGCTGTAGCATTTTATAGGATCCTACAATACGAATTCCATGAAATCCTATTAATCGTAGAATTTCATAGGATCTTGTAGGAATCTGGTAGGATTGTTTGACCTGGGAAGCGTGAAATACCAAAAAACGATCATTTGTGCCGAGAATACTTCAACACTTTCAAGCGCTGGTCATAACGGGTGCAGGCTACTCTCCGGTCTAGTTGTCAAACAGAGTTTATAAATGGAGAAGATTTACATTCACTTTTCAGATTTTTGTATTGTTTTCGTTTAATTTATTTTGTTTGTTACTACTTATTGGAATGGCACCTTATACGTTTACATTGTTTGCTCCATATAATAAAAGTGGTGAGTAACCCATTTATGGGACTTTGGATACAGTCTTATTGTTAATTTATCTGTTTTAGCTGGTTTGCGATTGAAAAATGCAAATTCACGAATGTTTGGAATTGATATTCCAATGGAAAAAAATGAAGAAGATGGATATTTTCGAGTCACTACTGATTTGGCTGATGGTAAGCATCTTGCGTTTCGAGTCATTAACATCTATTTTAGGACAATTTTCCAGGTCAGAGTTAATAACGGCAGATTTTCTGGTTTGGAGACGAACGAACTTCATCCATGTTTATTAGCATCTCCTCTCCTTTTATAGACGTCACAGTCACGAAGTTCGACATGCATGAGCCTCACTGGATTTTAGTCCAGCGAGGCTCAACATCACTAGATTTAAGAAAAAGAATTGACTGTTCTCTATTAAGAGCTTATGAGTATTAGATACTTAAAAAAGAAAGTATGCATGAAAAACAGTTCAATAACCCTTAAGTAGTAATAACCTCCAGTAACCCTTATATTTTTAAAATTTTTAACCGTGTGTTAACCTGCGAAAAATCATCCTATAATAGGTCGGACGATATTTTTTATAATTCCTACTACGTTCGGTTTTCAAAAATTCTCTAGACCGGTGAAAAACGACAGAAAAACGGGCGGTTTTCAAATATTTTCTAGACGGGCAAGAGGGTACAGAAACTCGTTTTTTTAGTGAAGAAGAGAAAAATGCTAAGAATTTAAAAACCGGTCGATCACCAGCCGGTTTGAAAACCTTTCTAGACTGGTGAAGACCGGCCGGTCTAAATTTCTACACCGGACTGGACCGGCACAGGAACGGGCCGCTCGGTTATATTCTGGGCTGGAAGAATATCCCATGTCGTCTATTGTTATAAAAAACCGTCAGTTTGTCGAATAGCCGCCAATTGACCGCGATTTGCTAGAAGCCGTCAATTAACCGCGGTTAACGGTCGGTATTTTTGATACCACGGTTTGGAAAATTAACAGCCAATTAATCGCATTATTTCGAAGAACCATCAGTCGATCGTTTCTTTTTGAATCCCCGTTTAGTTATGTGGTGACTATATGCACATAAGGACATTATGATTTATCGAAAAAAAAGCCCTAACACTCGAGATTTTGCCCATAGTAATATCAAATTTCTACGATACCCTTGAGGATTACCGCCTTCGATTGTGCGTTATTTAACCCTTTGGGGACGGGTGACGTTTTAAAACGTCATTAAAACGTCAAAAATCGGAATAAGTCGTGTTTTCCAAAACTTTCTTTTGAAGAAACGTCTCTCAAAACTAGA